CATAAGAACAAATTTGCAGAGAGCACAAATTAAGTTTAGTTAATTTAAGTTCCAGAGGCCAATTTCACTAATTATTTACTGAAAGTTGCTTTGGGCAATAATTCTGTGAACTTGAGTAATTAAAGTAAAGTACAGTAAATGATAGGGCTAAAATTGGTTGGAGATCCTTTGAATATTGACAGTGACAAAGTTGGAGGTATACCCCTGGTGTACATGTCCAACTTTTCGTCCAAATTAATTAACAGTAAACACATCAACTCTACCACCACAGCAATATGTCTGAGAACGTATCCACTAAAAAATACTTCTCTACACGCACAAGCTTCTGCTGTAGTTCATTTATCTTGCTTGGGGTTTTTGGAGTGTAATGACATGCTCTTTCACTTCAGGTGTACTCATGATAAATAATGTTTGTTCTTTATATATATCACATTTAGTTTCGTTTTCCCTATATGAATAATGGTTAGTATTATTATTACTATTTTGATGAATGAATTGTACTTTCACTTTCCCTATAAAGATAATTGACGATGGGTTTTTTTTTGGCATGTTGTGTACTTTCACTTTACCTACAGCAGTGATGGACAAGGTACTTAGTGTAATGTTCTTGTAGTGACATTGATAAACTGACTCATTTGACCTACATCATTTCCGGGACATAGTCAAATCAATCTTGGTCAAACTTAGCACAGTCATTTCACACAAACATCCAGAATGACTCAACACAAAGATACATTTTTTATTTGTTTGAATTTGGAGTAATCCTCAGAGACATTGTGTTCCTGTACACAAATTCTATCTAACCTCTTATTATTCTATTTGATTATGTCTTTAGCACTAAAATTCTTGCCCGGAGGTATCACATTTGTAATGGTAAGCAAAAGTAAATACCATTTTGAAAATTTAAATTAGTATAAGTGTAATACCCTGAAGTTACTGTGTACACAGTAAGCATATATACACCAATAGTGTTACCTATGTGAAAATTCCACCAGTGACAGGAGTTAAAATTTAAATCATGATCAATTCAACAGCGTATCACTGAAATTTAGCAAGAACTGAATAATCCTGAATAAAAAAAAAATACTTTTCATTTATGCTACTTTTTTTTTAGCAGATTTAGTAAATTGTAAATATTTTTCTTTTTTTAACATAATAAACAGGTAATTACATATTATGTATAAAAGGATATGAGTTGCAATAATTGACTGTTTAATGCATTTTGTTCTAATTATCTTAAAGAAAATTGTAATATTTCATTCTGATGTTTAAAAATTACAATTTGAGAAATATTCTCAAATCAGCATATTTTCTGTCTCTCCCCCTCCCCTTCCCCCAATCCCATTCCATTTTTTAGAAAATACTCCAATGCTGTCAAATTTAGGCTTGTATAATTACTAAACTTTATGATTTAACAAAAGGAGCAGTAATTTTAGGAATTCATCGCAAATATATTTTCATATCTAATATTAAGGTATCAACAAAAAAATGAAATTAAAACTGAAATGAAATTAAAGTTCAGTAGTTACTTTAATATGTTTTTAAGTTAACTATCTGCAAGTTTTGATAGTCATACACTGCTATTAATCAGGAAATAATGACTATGTGAACTGGAAACAATTTTAAAGTAATTGAATTTAGATTTAAACTGGTTTTTTGTTATTATGCAATCTGTTATTAAAATACATGATGTTAAGCACTGACAACAATTTCTCCTCACTAATGGAATTTCACAACTATTGTTTCAGAGAAGAAAAAAACACATTTTATTAAGATTCCAACGGAAGAGAAAATCTACTGATTTTACCGAATGTTTTCACTTATAAAATCAAGTTTAGCTTAGTGTAAGTGATTGTGATTCAACAATTATTTTTACATCTATTAAGTTAAATCCTCAGAAAGAAAGAATAAACAGAAACATCACACTAAAACATTTCTAAATTCTGAATAGATATTACAAATAATAAAAACAAGTCCATGGGCAACTGAATTCTTGTTTTCATTATAAACACTTTGAATAGGACAGACCATGAGATATTGTAATCTTTCTTTTAAATTGAAGTTATGTGGATATTTTTTACCTGTCATTACCTCATGTTTGGTAATAAGCCCATCGGAGTATCACAAATTCAGTAATAAAGCCATCAATCAATTGCTGTACCATTGTCCTCTGCCCAAACCCCCCTCCCCGCTACTTTGAGTCCTAGATTATGATTTACTCCCCAGGCTTACTGACCGATCCCCTAGTAAACAATAAATAATACACGATGATGTTCCTCGTGCGGTTTTCATATATAATCAATAAAATAGTTATTATGGTGTTATGTGTGTAAATCCAGTCGCTGACAAATGTGGACATTTTCTTAATAAACTCTGATCTTGGTTTATAGATCAGGTATACATTATCCCTGTCTCACGTACAACTGACAAATATCATAAATTTTCATGTTTTGTTTTTCTATCTTGGAAAATGTGCTAACTGTAGCGAAAACAGCATAGCCGTAACTTCTCTCAGTAAAACCTGTCATCTTTTAATATTCCCAATGTTACATGTGGAGCGAAAAACATAACTTTAAATTAACAAAATATTCCAACAGTTCAATAAGTTCAAGAAATCTGAGAAATGTTTGCTATTTTAAGCATGGAAATGACAGAATGAATAAACCTTTTGTAACAAATATTTTTTTCAGGTTTTATAATTTTCTGTTATTTTTTTTGTGTATACAACTATAAAATGTTTGAAATAACTTTACGTACTTGGTATCTTAACACACTGAGGTTACTTATACAACCAGATAGGTTTTATTAGAGATCTCTACCATATGTTCGAACAGATGAAAAACTTCGACATCCTATCCGTATATAAAGTCGGCAGTAAAATCTGGACCTAAGTAATAACTCCACTGAAAATTACAAGGACAGACGGCCTAATCTTCACACAATATAATTATATACTTTGGTCTCGAATTGTGTATGGTTTCCGGAAGAATTTCAGATTCGGACGTTTCTCCGTTTGATAACAGGATGATCATTTATCATTGAGAACCTTTATGTATTCGTATATCACTGTCGATGATCTAGAAATTCTTTCTACTTTTAAAACAGACATATCATTATTTTGTTTCCAATACTATCTGATAGAATGGAGAATGCCAGCTATTTTCTTTCATCTTTTGTCTGTTAAAGAGGTAGCTATCTGTAAAACATCCTCAAGAATCTAAATTGATTTTCCTTTTTATATATATGTATAAAAGTTACTGGCCTCAACTGGTTTTACCGCTACTTATCCGATGCGTACATTTCAACCGCTGAATCAATCATTTTGTTCAAAAGTCAATAAATTTGGACTCGAGTCTGGAGCTACCCTGAATCAGGGGAGATAATTAGTGTAGGTGGTTAATGATGTGTGGCTATCTGATGTGACAATGTTTAGCTGTCACAAAACTATAATGGCGTTCATTGAATCGTACAGCTATTCCACGACGATAACCATCTACCCTCTCACTTTGATCTTGTAGTTCTTAACTCCCTGGAAATTTGTATGAATTTTATTAATATCTAGTAAAATACACTTCTAAAATATTTTATAGTGGAACAGGAATTCGTAATACTGTATTGAATTTATGAGTCACAAACAGGTTCACATTTTTATAGCTCTCAACAAGTTGTTTTTGTCCCCTTCATCATATATAAAAATGTTAAAAATCATACTTAATTTAGTTTAATTTCTTTTTTTCAGAAATTTTGTATTTTTAAAATGACTTGCACATTATAATTGATAATTTATGAACCACATATACACAAAACAGCCTTATGATAAGTTTGGGTTGGAAATCACTCATAATTGAATTCACAAATTGAATTTATGAAACTCTTTAACATGAAATAAATTTTGAAATTTAAAGTTTCATTGGTAAAATCATTCAAATTCAAAGTAAACAAAATTCTGCATGTATTATCAACAAAAATATCACACATTATATTAATTTTTAATGAAGAAAAAAAAAGAAGAAAAATTTTGAAGAAAGGCCACATGTAGGAAAAAGATGAATGATGTAGCTTCTTCAAAATGTATTTATTTTTGTACCTGAATAACATTGAAAAAGTTTAGATGTCACAATAAAAATAACTTTAATATACAGAATTTTAAAAAGTTTTTATTAATATCTGACTTCAGAACTTAAGAAATTGCCATGGTCATTTATGTATTTATTTGTAGTAACATAGTAAAATAGTTATCAATGCAGTAGATTCTGTCTTATATCTGTATCATTACAGAACAGCATGTCTCTAGGAAACCTTCCAAGAGTATCACTATTGTAGAGCCTGTCTTGAGAGGGTAATCCCATCCATTAGTAAAGAAGAACTGTCTTGAGAGGCTACCTTCCCATAAGTAAAGTAGTACTTGTCTTGAGAGGCCATCCCTCCCATTAGTAAAGTAGAACCTGTCTTGAGAGGCCATCCCTCCCATTAGTAAAGTAGAACCTGTCTTGGAAGGTCATCTCTCCACAAGTAAAGTAGAACCTGTCTTGAGAGGCCATCCCTCCCATTAGTAAAGTAGAACCTGTTTTGGAAGGCCATCTCTCCCTTAAGTAAAGCAGAACCTATTCTGAGAGGCCATCTCTACCATCAGTAAAGAAAACTGGTCTTGAGAGGCCACCCTACCATTAGTAAAGTGGAACTTGATATGAGAGTCCAAACCTTCCATCAAAACAGTAGAACATTTCATAAGATACCAACCTTTCTGTTAAGCTTATATAATAACATTCTAGGTGACAGAACACTCTAATTAATTCAATTGTGATTAAGTGACTTTAAATGAGATGAAGAAATTTTAAGAAAATCAGCAAAAACCTATACAGATTTAACAGTTGAGAAGTTAACTGATTAGTATGAAGAAATCAAATCTACACTGTATAGGCAATATGCATTCAAAGGGAGACAACTTAGTTCTCTTCCATTGTTTTTATTTCAACACTTACCATGTAGATTCATTGCTATCACACAAAATAATCCATGCCAACAGCCATATCTGTTCGCAAATCTTCATCCTCAACTACATAACTTCCTGATGTAGTCGTATTGTCATCTTCATCGTAATCCTCTATCGTTGCCATTGACGTATTTAGATAGTCTGTAACACCACGCCAATGTACAACAGGGCCACGCCCCTTGTGTGGGACACCCCCGCGGGAAGGGTAGCCATTATTGTGACTATTTAGATGCACTGGTCGTGATTTGGGAGGTAACAAATGAGAAAGTTTAAAATGTAAGTGGTTTGGATTGGGTACCCTCCGCGGGTCACTGTTTTCACTGTTAGACGGAATTCTCCGCGAGTCTGTTCCCTCACTGGGTGTTGGTGCATTTTCCTTCCTTGGAGAATTGGATGGCGAATACATACTTTTCAGATAGTCTATGAAAGAAGAAACAAAATAGACATTATGATAAAAGATACATGGATGATTAAACATTTCAACATTATAGACACTGCATTTTATTCTCTGTCTATATTCATACCTTTAAGTGTTTCCGTGTAAATCTTTCACCCTTTGGTGTTTTGTCCTTAAGTTTTACCAAAATTTCAGACTAAAATAAAATGATGTTGACAATAATTTTACCATTTTCTTTGTTGTATTTGTTGATTAACAAAATTTGTGTTCAAATCATTATTTTGTAATTCAGAAAAAAAACATTTTTCATTTAATTGAGTATTTATTTTCCCAGCATTTGTAGCGACAAGAATTTTACAATTTATATGCACAGGGTCCTGACAACTACACAGAACCCATACCCATGTTTTAGAATTTATTTTTACAGGGTTCCTGACAGCCAGGCATTCATACCTAGTTTTAGTATTTATATTTGCTGGGTCAGGACAACCAGACATAAGACACCTACCAAAAGTTTCAGTCTATTAACAAGTTTGTGAGATCTGTACCTAGAGTTTCAGGATATTAACAAGTTTGTGAGATCTGTACCTAAAGTTTCAGGATATTAACAAGTTAGTGAGATCTGTACCTAGAGTTTCAGGATTTCTATTAACAAGTTTGTGAGATCTGTACCTAGAGTGTTAGGATTTCTATTAACAAGTTTGTGAGATCTGTACCTAAAGTTCCAGTCTATTAACAAGTTAGTGAGATCTGTACCTAGAGTTTCAGGATTTCTATTAACAAGTTTGTGAGATCTGTACCTAGAGTGTTAGGATTTCTATTAACAAGTTAGTGAGATCTGTACCTAGAGTTTCAGGATTTCTATTAACAAGTTTGTGAGATCTGTACCTAGAGTGTTAGGATTTCTATTAACAAGTTTGTGAGATCTGTACCTAGAGTTTCAGGATTTCTATTAACAAGTTTGTGAGATCTGTACCTAGAGTGTTAGGATTTCTATTAACAAGTTTGTGAGATCCGTACCTAGAGTTTCAGGATTTCTATTAACAAGTTTGTGAGATCTGTACCTAAAGTTTCAGGATATTAACAAGTTTGTGAGATCTGTACCTAGAGTTTCAGGATATTAACAAGTTAGTGAGATCTGTACCTAGAGTTTCAGGATTTCTATTAACAAGTTTGTGAGATCTGTACCTAAAGTTTCAGGATATTAACAAGTTAGTGAGATCTGTACCTAGAGTTTCAGGATTTCTATTAACAAGTTAGTGAGATCCGTACCTAATTCTAGACAATGGGAAAGCCCTCCACTGCTCTGAATATCACTTTCACTGCCACCACGGCCACTGTCGCTCGTCGATGTTTCTCCAGACGTCTCGCTGTGGTTATCATCTTGTTTCTTATACATCTCTCCCTGCAAACACAAAACAAATCACTTTCAGAAAAACATCTAAAAATAGATGTCTACGCCTCTTTGTTTTTATTTCTTTGTTTTGTATTTGATTGTTTTACGCAAATTTTGAAAAATGGTCCAATATGAAAAATAGATATTCAATATACATTGTGTAGTAAGATATTCTTCACATTCTCAATCAAATTAGCATGTATTTTCATTTAACAAAATGATTTATTGGATCGACTTAAATCTGTAATTTGTTATCATCAATAGATTTTGAATATTTGTATACTAATCTGTCATTCTATTATTGAACATCATGTTGATTTATACATCCAAGTGTTTATCTTCTGTGATTAAACAGACCACCGTGGATGAATGACACATCTTGCCATGAAGTCACTATCATCACATTTGTTTAAAGCTTAATTGTCAAATCATTTTTCTCCTTCTCTTGAAATCTGTATGATTCCCGAATGATCATAAAACAATTCCTTAAGATGCACAGCACGGTGTTGGAATTTTATTATCTAATAAAACATTTATTTTTGGTTCCAAGCAAATTTTGAATGGACAGGAATTTTTCAACTAAATTAATTCTATTGAAAATAAATTTGTTGTTTAGTCAGCATCATGAGCAATCTAAAGGAGCTATGCATAGAATCAATATGACACTCTTTGGAGACAATAGCCTGATCAGGGTATTGTTGCAATAATGTAATGTCGCTGCTCAGAAATCCACAACCAAAACAAGCCATGTCACTCATATTAAGAAACTGGAATCTGTCCAGACACCATTACCTGTTTGTTGTTTCTGTCTTTCCCAACTTCATGACTCACAACTGATTGAGTGTAATTGATCAGCTGACAAAGAAACATACATATCTCACCGTGTTCGGAATCCTAACAAACCAAACTAATTAACATTCCAAGAAACAGAAATTGAACATTGTCCTGGTTTTCAAGTTGAAAAGAATTTGTTAATTAGGTCAAGTTTTTTAAAAACAATAATTACCCAGCTTTACACATATACATGATGTGAAATGTTATCTGTTTTCTACATAACATAATGAATTAGTTCTCATCAATTATTGCAGAAGTGAACTTCTCAAAGATGTAGAAGTTTAATTGAGAAAAAAACTGCTGATTTATTGGTAAAAAAAAATTAGATAAATAAATGGAAAATTGGAAAGACCTTTTTTTCCCCAGGGGGCTGTTCTTATTTATTTTGGGGTGAGGGTGGTCTTCTTATAGAAGTATTTTAATCTATCTAAATTTAGGAAATAGATATACTTTGAATTGTAACACAAAAAATATCTCTCAAATCTGAATATTGATTTTAATTGTGTGATTTTTTACCTGTTAATCATACACATTAGAATGACAAATGTGTCATTATTTTCCAATAAATTTCTTTGCTAGAAATGAAAAAAATGACTGATATATTTCAATATCATTCAGTGGATTTCATGAAAAATACAAGTACCGGGTAACTATAAATTCACCTAGTACGGTTGCACATTTTAAAGAATTAAAACCATGTGAAAGCAAGATGTTGATCTGATCCACAAATGTCACTGATAATATCATATCTGGCAAATGTATAATCTTAATATTTAATTTCAATGTTGAGTTTCATAGCATGTACAGTGACAGAAAAATCCAGCTCACCTTTCTTATCAGACAGAGTACATGAAAATTATGAAAATAAATCTAAGACTTGTACAGATGATGGTGAAAGGTATGTTGTTAAGTTATTGTCTAAGTGAACATCTAGAATTAAGGGGAAATGAGCAGTTTAAACTGTTCAGTGCTATGTTGTAAATTGTTTACTTGTCAATGAAATAATTGTTTAACGAGCGCTAATTGACAGTGAGAGTAATTAATTTTCCATGACAGAATAATAAAACAAATTACTGTTTGTGTTTTACAGAAACCATGCTGATTTACCACCTGTTGGGTGTATTAGAATGTTCTGTGTCCTCAATTTTAAAGCCGGGATAATGGAGATGGGTCTGTACAATGAAACCTCGGTGAATTTAACATATTGTGAAATACAGAAATGTCCATCTTTGATAACATATGCATTCCATTTTCAGTATTACAGAGGGAAGAATTGTAATAAAACCATGTGGATTAAATACCAAACATTTAAGATAGAATGTGAAATATAGGATATGTTCATGTTTTCTTTTTATTTCAATTGCTATAAAATTGTAACTAGTACAAGACAATTAGGATGTCAGAATTCACTCAACAAAGTGGACACATTGATATATAATATATCATTATATATTTTCTTATATATATGCGGCAGAAATAACAAAAACTAAACAAATTAGACATGAACTGAACAATGAAATTAATGAAGAAATATATTGACAGTTGACATCCACAAACCAGCATGTAGAAGACGATGTACGAAACAAGTTACCTAAACATTCTCTAATGATGTGGTTTGGCTTCTTATATTGAAACACTGTTTAGATTTTAGGAATGCCTTCCAGGAAATGATGTGTTTTGTTTTTTTGAATCACGTTAATTTGAAAGATTACAGATGGGTCCCTATTCATGTATACAGATCAATACCACAGCATTATCTATATCCCAATCATCAAAGTATATATCTAACAGCATGGTTTATATACCAATTCTGATATATTTCGTCAAGCAGAGAAATATTCCATACAGATAACAAAGTTTGCCCCTGAGGTATATTGATTGTGAGTGTTATTTGGCTTCTGTTTGTTTGGCGTTTAACTTTTTTCTTCTTGTTTTTTGTAATCTATGATGCATATTTAACTGATGTCAATGCACCATACATAACAACTCAAATGAAACATCCTGGAATTACAACTATCCTGAAATAAGCCCAGGGGTGGGGATGGAGGGTAGGGGTGAGGTGAGTGGCTACACATAAAATCTTGATTCAAAGTTATTAAGGCAGATGGCAGATGGACTTTTTATGCAGGAAAATGTTAACTGCCATTTTTACTAAAGCTGCAAAAATCCATGAGGATGGGCTTATCACCACATAAACATGGCACAGTACTTGTAATCACTAGCTGTCTATAGATAAAAGTGTGTGTTGATTTTTATCTTCATCTCATAAGCAATGAACTTTGCCTCAAATATTTCTAATGTTGATTGATTAATTTCAGCTTAAAATAGCGGTAATAGTGTTTTATGATAAAATGATTACAATGCTGAGACAATAATCTGTGATCCTCCAGTACAAACCTCTAGATTTGAGTTGCTTCCCCAAGATGGTTTGTCGCAGGCCTGAAGGTATTCTTGGTGTCGCTGAAGCTTGGCTACTGTTGACAGGGACTGTTGCTGAAACTGTTGCTCTGGGTTGTCTTCTCTTGTTGGAACTCTTTCAGGTTTAGGTGGAGGCATAATTCTGTCGAGTATCTGGCCAACAAAACAAACAAATCATCAAATGTTTGACAGATATTTTTAACTCACTGAGATAAATCATCAAAAAGTTTCCATGAAAGTTAAAAAAGAAACAGGAAAGAAATCAGGACTGAAAATCATGGTATTATTCAACCTTTTGTTAAAAATACTCAACAACAATGACAATAAACACTAATTTCAAAATGTTGTCCTCGTATACAAATGCTTGTAATGACTAAGGAAATTTTTCTCTGGGGCATTCAAAATAATAGCTCAAATATTTTAAATCATAAAAGAGTAAGGCAATCTAATAATTGAGGTATGTGAGACATAAGAGAAGACATTCAAAATATTTCAAAACAAGAATTATTTATTTACTATGGTAACAGTATAATATAGACAGATATATGTGTATCTATTTTGATATGCTTACTTTAATATGATGCAAGTTTATAACCATCAATTGTAAAACCTTGACAGATCAACTTCAGGTTTTAAATTTCATGGTTAGGTGAGAATTGAATTTACATTAAAATGAACTCCTGAGACCTTGTAGATAACCCCTGCTGCCCCTACGACCTTCACTAAAATATCTGTATAACTTTTGTCTATGTAGGAGAATTATCTGATTCATCATGGAGATCCCTAGCAATTCACCACCCAGACTTACAATCTTTGTTCGTTTTGTTATCTATCAAAAATCTAGCATAGTTTCACTGTATAAAAAATTCATTACATTGTCAACAATAAACAAATGTAGGTTTATCATCATTACAATGATACAATGGTAAAGGTTTCTAAAGTACTAACGTAGGCCCCAACGTGGCGTACTAAACGGCCTGACCATGTTCCATATGTTACGAACTGTAACAAAATCAACATTGAACTTAGCGGAGCTGAAAACAAAGAGTTAAGCACACACAAACATGCAATGGCTTTTGTCCCCCTGTCTGACACGAACACACCAGGTGAACAAATACAATCAGGTTGTCAATTACTGAACCGTTAGTGGCGTTAATTAACATTTTTGGCTTTTCACTAGTTCACGCACCCTACCTAAAAAAGCACTATGCATCACAAGTACCTGTCGAAGTAAATAGGGAAATATTAAAAATTATTCAAAATGCAGTGAAACTATTTTGTTTCTTGGGTCAAAGATGCCCTCAAGTGATTCAACACTGAAGAATTTTCCAAACAGTCAGCTGCTAAGGAATACTGAAAAAATTTAATTAAATGAAAGGTACAATCATTTTCCATTTTGTCAAACATGAAGATTTTATAATGTTCTATGTCAGTCAAATATAGGTCAGTAGCTAGAGCCTATACCTTATATAATAAATTTCACAAAATAAACAAGTTTATACGAAAATGAAATATTTCATTTACCAAACATTTGTGGGGAAAAAAGTTTATACGAAAATGAAATATTACATTTACCAAACATTTGTGGGGAAAAAAACATTTGAAACCTTTCATGTCAAATTTCATTATGAAAAATTTTATTTACAACTTCAAACGGGTCATGTATTAATGACGCAGCCGTTATATATCTACTGGGATTTCAATTGATGATTGAAAGGCCGGAGTGAAATGAAACACAAAAGCTACCAAGCACCATGAAAACAGATTTTCTAAGCACCCCAGGAGTCTAAAAGGTATTTACAAATCAAACAGGATTACTCTTACAATCTATTTCTTTCACATATATTTTTATAATTCAATAAAATTATCTTCTATCCCAGATCAAAGTTGGATTCGATACGATATTCATTAGCTGATGTTGTGCTGCATGTGCGTTCGAGTATTGATAAATGTTTTAAGAGGAGAAGCTTTTTATACTGCTCTGTTATGGGTGTGATAAAGGTATTTATCTTAATGTCTGAGGTATTTAATTTGATGTTTTACACGTTTATCATCGTAAGCTATTTGATCGAGAGTTGTGATAGCGGTCAAACCATTCTGCCCGTTGAAACACCTACCCGCCAATTTCTCCATCCTTCTCACCGTTTTAGTCAATTTTATGAGCGACCATCAATTATCCATATTGGATTTGAGGAAATTGATCGTGTTAATAAATAGTTGTAGCCAGAAGGTATACCGATGTGTATAGATCGTACACATTTTTTATTTAACAGCATGATTTTTTCGGGCCATACAATGAATGCCCACTGTCTATCAGCTAAAATCTACCAATAACAGCTGTTGAATTTCTGATACAAAATTGAGGAGAATATCAACATTGTACTGTAGAAATGTCAAAACAATTATCATTTCTCTCCTCACAAGCTTGTGTGGGGGACACAGTACATCATTACAACAAACAGAAAAACATAAAAGATATGAATTCAGTAAACAAACAAAAATACAATCAATATATCAACAAATAAAAAAACAGTAAATTATAAATGAGATCAACAGATAACATACACTAAGTCAACAAAATGCCTAATGGGCCTGTCAAGCCCACCAGTTGATCTAAAATCTTCTTTGTTGATTTCTTGATACAGATATGGTTACAATTTATTGTATTGATCCTAGCAGACCTCTTGTACTTCCAACTTCTGCTAAAACACTGCACTCAGGCAACATGCTATGCACTTTAAATTCCACCGACTTCAAAACAGCAAGTACAAAATAAAATAGCTCCAGTTAGGACGTAGACAGTGAAAAGTTTGAAACACATGCCATCGAAAAGAAACTAACCATGCAAATGTCATGATTTAAGATTAATCAATTAAATGCACTTGAATGGAAATATACATGCATACATACATCATTAATTACCATCAAATTAGTTTTGTGTCTAGCGGGATTTATTGATTCCGTCAGCAGTATTTCATTTTCTCACACACGTAATTTCTTACTGAACGCAAGACCACCATTGCTATTCCTAACTCCAAAACATAACTATGTCGTGATGATGTTTACTTAAAATCTACAATTGTATCACTTTTGATTCTCAGTTTGAAAAGTGTTTTGCTGAGTTCAAAATTTAAATCTGTTTAGTGTGTTTTCAGTGTCTTTAACAACAAACTTCAGTTCTCTACATTATGGACTCAGAGGAGCACAATTTTTTTTTCATGAAATTTTAAGCTTTTTATTATTACCACAGGTAACAAATATGAAATATACGAGGGTGAAATTAGCTAATTTACCAAAATCCTGTCATACATTTTAACTGATCTTTTTGTGAAAGATCTACTAATTTGTCCCAGGGTTAAATCTCTTTTTTGGAGAAGGTAAAATATGTTATTGGTAACATACACCATTAACACAACAGAAGTGAGTGACTAGAATCTAAATGTACTTTGTATTGATTGGTCATTAAGATGCATACACTGACCAGCTGACACTTAATAGAAATGCTGAAGGACAGTGAATCAACTGAAAAAATCTAATCGGTATCGGAAATGTCCCCTGCTGATACAGGTCATTAATCATTCCGGTCACATTAGATAAATATATACAAATTTTAAAATCAAATTTTGTTTTAGCAAACTGTGGATGCTTTGTGTGTAGTGTTTTGATAATCGTTTATATAGATCTTTATCAATTCTATTCTCACTTTCATTTTTTAATCGTTTATGACGGTGTTAAAACATCTATCTGACATAGGTATGATAAAAGGAATCGGAAAGTTATACTGATAAGCCAGAATGAACAAAACCGTTTGAACTTTCCAATATTATCTGATGATATACTTTTGTGGTAAAATTACTTTAAATTCCATTTACCGTTATTACAAAACTGCGAAGATGTTTTACCCAGCTGACACTGAGAGAAGTCCCAAGTACATGATAAGATCATTGTTTTATATGCGTGTATACTTTGGATTGCCTACATCTGAAGCATTCCCTGAACTTAATATTGATTTAACAGAATGTTAAACCTACATTTCCTCTTTTACTAAGTAATTTATAGTCAAATGTGATTTTACAGGGAGACAACTCTATCTATAAACAACATACATGAGATATCATATGTATTATAGATATCAAGCAATTATCCCATGTCTGGTAATAAGCCCACACATCTATTTCAGGTTTAGTAAAATACCAATATACCTGTTATAAACCAGGAGTATTCAGCCCACTTCCCTACTGTATTACCATTCTTTACTTCCCCTGAAATAAGCCCACCTATCTACATTGAGTGAGAAGTAATGTGTTGGCCCCCTCTGTTTGTCCTGTAATAAGTCCATCTAGCTACATTGAGTGAGAAGTAATGTGTTGGCCCCCTCTGTTCGTCCTGTAATAAGCCCATCTAGCTACATTGAGTGAGAAGTAATGTGTTGGCCCCCTCTGTTTGTCCTGTAATAAGCCCATCTAGCTACATTGAGTGAGAAGTAATGTGTTGGCCCCCTCTGTTTGTCCTGTAATAAGCCAATTTAGCTACGTTGAGTGAGAAGTAACATGTTGGCCCCCTCTGTTCGTCCTGTAATAAGCCCATCTAGCTACATTGAGTGAGAAGTAATGTGTTGGCCCCCTCTGTTTGTCCTGTAATAAGCCAACTTAGCTACATTGAGTGAGAAGTAATGTGTTGGCCCCCTCTGTTTGTCCTGTAATAAGCCAATTTAGCTACTTTGAGTGAGAAGTAACATGTTGGCCCCCTCTGTTTGTCCTGTAATAAGCCCATCTAGCTACGATTAGTGAGAAGTAACATGTTGGCCCCTCTGTTTGTCCTGTAATAAGCCCATCTAGCTACGATTAGTGAGAAGTAACATGTTGGCCCCTCTGTTTGTCCTGTAATAAGCCCATCTAGCTACGATTAGTGAGAAGTAACATGTTGGCCCCCTCTGTTTGTCCTGTAATAAGCCCAGCTATCTACTTTGAGTGAGAAGTAAGGAGTTGTTCCCCTTCATTTGTCCTGTAATAAGCCCACCTATCTAAATTGAGTGAGAAGTAATGTGTTAACCCCCTCTGTTTGTCCTGTAATAAGCCCACCTATCTACTTTGATTGAGAAGTAAAATTGAGTTGTTCCCCTTGATTTGTCCTGTAATAAGCCTACTGCTTCAAGTGAGAAGTTATTGTCTATGCCCCTTGGCCTTATTGAATGATGGTTTAAATATGATAGTTGCAATGATTTTTAGACTCCATAGTTAATCATGTACTTTTTATTTATTTATTTATTCAGTTAATTTTGAAGTTAACATTTCCATAACTCTCTACTTAAAATTACTTTTTCAGAAAATCTATATGAAACATGAAGTCAATTGGTCTCTAAAACAAATTTGCATACATACAATCAATTACACAGACTCATTGTTATGTATCAAAAACAATGACATCTTTTTGCTTTTAGATTCAATATTTCTCTAAAATGATAAAAAAAGTATGGCCCTATGGATAACATATTTACTACAGAGATATCTATTTCACAGAAAATTTTATTAGATTTCGCGAAAATTGCTGCCATATCTACACTCATAACAGCTAAGCTTCTGAAAAAAAAAGCATTTACCATGGAAGCGATCGATGAAAAAATATAATTCAATAAGTTTGAAATCATATTCTGCAGAGATAAAAAAAAATGATTCAATTTCAATTTCACAGCCACTACACATGAATGTCAAGTATTTTAAGTCTAGTGGAATCAAAATTGATGTCTTCATTTATAAAATGAAGCCAAAATTGTACATTTCATATTCATGCCATTGGCTTGGCTGCCTATCCCAAGTTCTCGTTGTAAGGTTGGCTGTTTACTTTTATGAAGCACCATTTTAAATTGCTGAAGACGTTTCATCAGACATACAAGTGTTGAAGAATCCGTTTTAAACGCCTTGAAAGATGGCAGTGCATGAATATATAAGGTTATCAAAGACACATACCTCTTAACAAAAAAACTTTGTAGCAAAGTAAAGAATTGGAAATGATTTTCAATCTGAATGCTTTTAATTTTTTTTACTCTTGAGAATTCAAACAAATTTTCCTATTACAATGCAACCTCGTTTAACTGTTAAAACCTCACACTTGTGCCAGATGAAGTTCCTTTCATACAGTCGAAGCACTCTATTTAGGCAAAACCCTAAACAGTAGAGTTCAAATAAAAAGACTGCCTATTTCACTCCATTTAAATTAAATCTGTTCCTTTTGGTCCGAGTAAAAGCATGACAGCTATACAGATTTGTATGTAAGGTTAATTGCTTGGCTATAATTGTCTCTAATGATAGTCGTAATCACAAGGTACAAGGACGCCATGGCGATATAACCCGTATAGGAAATGTGGAATTAACACAAATTATTCCTATCTCTTGTCGACTCTACCAATCCCCAACCCCTTTTCACTTTTATATGGTGCTATGACTCATAAGAGAGCGTTTCTGTTTACGTATGTTTTCCTTTGTGAAACGACAATTATAAACTTCCAGGGTAATTTTGGACAACAATTATCATAAAATTGCTTTGGAAATTTTAAATAGCATCTCAATGGTTTTAGAAAGGCATAAAAAAGAATTGAAAAGACAATTTCTGAAATGAAATATCATCTTTTCGAAAGAATTTAATAATGCGACATTTTTGGCAGTTTGAATGTGAGAACTGTGTAAAAGGAATTATCATTATAGAACTTTTAATTAGCAAAAATTGTAAAGACTGATTGATGATTCTCTGCTCCATGAAACAGGTTCCTTTTTCATAAAACATTTCACTGTATGTAATATATTTTTGTAGTTCCCAATTCCATCTTCAATATTTGCTAGTTATTTCTGAACATGCATGTAAAATAGAACCCCTTCCCCCCAATTTTTTATTAAAAAATGCATACAGGTAAAATGTATTTAGAATCAATAAATCAGGTTGTGAAAAATATTTTAAATCTCAAGTCATAGACAGACATAAGAATATTTCACTTTTTCACCACTAGTGTTCCAATAGCTAGTTTAGTGAACACAAAACTTTCTCTAGTGTTCTACAAATAGAAATTATTTTTGCACAAGATTTTGAATTTTTTAGGTTTCTTACAAATTACCACAAAGAAATTAGCAAGACAGGCGGATTATCCAGGAACTATGAAGATTTCAGCAACACGATTTTTGATTTATTCATAAGATATCTCATTTTGCAATTCACTTCCCCACTATTGTCATGATATGAAACAACGCCTTAAAAACTTGTTTTTTTGGGCAAACATGACATTGTCAGTGGGCTAAGGGGGTTGGGTTTTGAGTTAGATCCCCTGGGGAGGGGGACAGGCTCAGTTATCCTTTGTCTTCAATGAGCTACAATATACACAATTTTTCCCCTTTTTTTATTAAAGTTAATTTGGCTTGATGAAAGAAAATGCCGACTTAAAGACTTGTATTACCATTAGATCAGCTATCATCATAAATAGATTATACTTAAACAAAGAAAACAAACACAGTATATGTTTACTGTTGTATACATCTCATACCTGTCTCATTAGACTATGTATCTGTCATCAAACACAGGTATGAATTTCCACTAATTGGTTTATACTGTCCAATAACCATACCTGTCTACTGGTGGTAAATTGAAAGGGTTCCATATAAATAAAGCTGAACCATGACTTCGTCATCATTGTGCCCTAGGGGGGGGTCGTTCTGTCAAACAGTTTGACAGGGACATCTCGGTGACTGACAGAACGTCTCAAAATATCTTCTCTCCATTATTAAGGAAATTGTTCAAGCAGATTTTTTTGTGAGCTAATAAGTCATCATATTTCTTCACATTCCAATACAGTTATAATAAATATATGAATTCAATATATCTCAATTCATATATCTGACACTGTCACAGGAAAAAAAATGTCATGACCATCTGATCAGGAGTTTTATGCTTGAGGTAAAACTTGGATAGACAATGTGCATATAACATTGTAGATCTAGTGGTGTATCAAATATATTACTACTTACAAAAAAATATTATTGAAAATAGATGAAAAAAAATATTAAAATTTACAACAAACAGCACAGTCATCTACCAAAACCATAGCTAGTATGTGTATTTAAGAAAATATGAATTATAAGTGAAAAAAAAATCTTTACAAACAAACATTTAATATTTTGTCGACAAAAACAAACACCAAAAAACCATTACCAAACAATTTAACTTCTTTATAAACACAATGAATTATATTTGTTTTCTGAAGTTAGAATATGTTTAAACATTTAACTGGAGTTGTGAATGAAAATTACCCATAACCAAACAGTGGACTTGTATATCATACTGTTTACATAGATATTCAGATATTTTTGTCATTAACGAGAAAAAATACCCAACCGCCAAGTAAATAAAACACCTGTTTATATATTAGCCCTTTGTGCAGGTATTTTTTTTTTCAATTAAAAAAGTGCTTAATCACACAACATAGAAATGTTTCAGTACCTGATTTTTTTTCTGAAAATGTGAAAAAAAAATTGTTTCAATCTTAACAAGACAGATTTGTTTGAGAAATGGTTTTTATAGCCTACAGTACGAACGGGAATGATAACAACACTAGACATGCAACCAAATGCATTTTTACCTGCCTTGTCACAGGTTGGCTCTCACCTGTGTTTACAGGTAAATAGGGATCGTCAGTCAAGGGAATTGCCTACAGGTCGAGAGGATTGGATTTTATAAAATGAAAATGAAATGTCATGAAAACTGAATAAATAAATTTTCGTAGGTTTTGTAAATCATGTATTTATAACAGAAGTTAAAACCCGGGAACCAATCTTTTGTCAGTTCACCGCAGTTCTCAATACAAGGCATTCCCATCTTACAAGGCAGTGGTTTTTCAAATTGAATATGGATCATGTTTACTAAAGGCAAACAAACTGTTCGGGGGTTTACCGTTACACAAAATCATAAAAAAAAATTTGACGTTCGCGATGGCATATGTAGTTGCTTTCATGTTCTGCATACTAATAACTTTATACTGAACTCACAGCAATGAAGGTGAGTTGAAGGTCGTTTTCAAGTAACCATTTGCATTTTAGATGTACCAGGTACAAAGCTCTATCAGAAAAAAACTAAATCTTACTTATTTGTATAAATTAAACTTCATAAACAATTGTCAAAATTTGATTGAAAGATTCATAATCAGAGGTAGTCAATTACAAAGATAACTAGTGAAAAAGTTCTTCCTCAACCGTAAACAGATCAGGTTATACTTAATGTGGTCTTGAAGTTCAGTTCAGAATATGTTAAACAAAATCATTGTTACTATTTAAAATTACTGCAACAGGATGTGAAATATGGGGGAAAACCACACTCTTTATAAATCAATTCCCAGAATTAGGATTTAAATCATTCTTGATCTTTACATTTTGTAATAGGGTGTTTAAAATAGGGACATATTTCATAAAGAATATTAAAATCACCAAAAAGCAATCTTACCTCTTCAACAGCGAGGGCATTGTTTGGAAACTTTGAGCTGGAGTCGGATGCTGATATGATAAGGTTGGGGTCTGAATCCACAGAAAAACTCACTTTTTTCTCTGCTCGATCTTGGCTTTCGTTGTCATGGTTACGAGTAATGGCATCATACATGTCCTTTCGTTTATCCTCCAAATCGGAACTACTTCCACTTTTATTCATTGCTTTTCTCTGTCTGTCTATCCGTTTAATGATACATATAACAAGGATTATCGCCATTGACAATACAATGGTCACACAAGTTATCACTATAGCGATGACAAGGTTGTCTGGGTCGGTGGGTGTGTCAACACCACTACCTTCGTGGGTTGTGACAATGATAGTGAGATTTTGCATTGAGGATCTTCTTGGCACCCCGTTGTCCTCCACAAGGACTGTGAAGGTGTAAGTTTGGATATCAGAGATCCCTAGGGGCTGTGATAAGTAAATCTCCCCAGTGTTTTCGTCAATATAAAAAGGGTTTGCCTCATCATCCTCTAGAATTGTATAGGTGAGCTTAGAATTACCTCCAAGGTCAGGGTCATATGCTATGACCTTGGTGATCACATGATCCGTTCCTGTATTGTAAACGATCTTAACAGTTTTATTATCAAATGTTGGGAAGACAATAACTGGTCCATTATCATTTGTGTCACCAACAAATACTGTCACATGAGTTGTGCTGTTCTGGGAAGGTGAACCAAGGTCATATGCAATGACTCGAAAATTATATCCATGAGGCTGTGATTCCCGATTGAGAACTTGTGTTGTATATATAGATCCATTGCTGTAAACTATAAATGGAAAACTTCCTGTCATTTCTGGTAACATCATGAATTCTACAATCCCATTTTGTCCTTCATCAGGGTCAGAAGCTGTAAGTGTTCCAACATGGATACTTGCACTTAAGTTCTCTCTCACAGAGAATGTGTAGACTGTCTCTGAAAATTTTGGTCGATTATCATTTTCATCCAAAACTGTTACCCTAACAGATGCTGTTCCTGTTTTGGGGGGTGTTCCTTTGTCAGTTGCTATGACAACAAATTCTAGCTGTGTGACATTTTCCCTGTCAAGGTGAACATTCACAAACACCTCTCCGGAGTCCGGATCGATCGAAAACTTATCGTTGTTTGTGGGAACAAGAGAATATACAACTTCAGAGTTAATTCCGGCATCAAAATCATTGGTTGACACTTTAAGTAAAATTGCTCCATGCTGGTTATTCTCGTAGATGTCTGGACGATAAAGCTGTTGAGTAAATTTCGGGGAATGGTCATTTTCATCCAAAACTTTCACTTCGAACTCTGCCGAGGAGTTCAATGGTGGACTTCCCGAATCTTCACATATAACCTTGACTCTGTGTTTTTCTTTCAGTTCTCTATTCAATGGTTTATGGACAACAACCTTGTACTCATTTGTCCCGATAGGGTCCAAGGTGAAGTAATAGCTTTGAACGCGGCAGTTGACAATACCATTGACTCCTTTATCGTCATCAGTTACACCAATATGAGCAACTGCCGCACCAATCTTTGCATCTTCCGAAATCTTGGCAACATCTGCGTTTGATAACAAGTTGATATTAATCTCTGGTGGGTCATTGCTTGAATCAAGAATGCTAACATATACTGTGGCCTGAGTAAAGAGTGGCTTTGTGGCATTATCTGTGGCTTCGATAAATATTTCGTAAACTTCACCACGCTCATACACAAGTGGATGCACCAGACTAAGGTCACCTGTGATGTTGTCTATTGCAAAGAAAGTGTGTATGACGGAAAGCTGGTGAGGGCTGAGACGGTAGAGGACCTGACCATTAGCACCAGAATCGGCATCTGTGGCCTTTACCTTCAGGATCACCTCACCAACCTGGGTGTCTTCTGCAATAGTGACATTGTACACTGATTGGCTAAATTCTGGAGCATTATCATTGACATCAGTTACCCTAATATCAACTGTCATGGTACCAGTTCTTTGCGGAACAGCGCCATCTATTGCCAAAACATGTAGCCTGTAAAAATTGCGGGTCTCACTATCCAACTTGGAATCAATAATAATTTTCACAGAAGAACTGCCATCCACATACTTATCAAATTTAACAGAAAATGGCACATTTCTTTCCGAAATATTATAACTTTGAACGGAATTTAAAGAACTATCCCTGTCAACAGCCCCATCTATTGGTATTGAAGAGCCAACGACGAAAGCTTCAGAAACTTCAAGACTCGTCCTATTCACTGTAAATGTTGGGGTGTTGTCGTTAATGTCTAATAAGAAGATCTTTACTTTTATTTTCTTGAAAAACGTACTCCGACTTCCTTTAGCTATGACATCAATTGCTAATTCACAAACCGTGGAGAATTCACAATGGTCTAACGATTCTCTGTCAAGTCTCTGACTTGTAAACAGAGAACTTGTCCGCTCATTAATATTGAAATAAGATGCTGGAACTGTAGTTTGTGAAAGAATACTATACTTTAAGGTTTCATAATCATCCAACTCAGCGGTTAAGAAATACGACGATAAATTAAAATCCTCACGAATGTTTCCAATATAATAATTTGGATATTCCTCTTCTGGAATAGGATAACTTAAATCCTGTGCGAAAGCTATTAAAATCGTCAAGAACACACAAAATAGCACCAAAGGGAATTTAAATGACAGCATTTTGTTGAAGTCATCTGGTCGACTAGTTCAAAAGTACTCCCCGGTCCATGTATAGCTGTGACAGTCTATAAGTCCATGTTTCCGAAGCCTGTCTTCACTCATAGGTGGGGGTGCTCCTGAAAAGACATGCTAACATCAATATTGGTTTCACTTATTACCAGCTATAATTATCTACATACAGTCTAACACCTGTAAAATGGGCCTGACTCCACCAACATTCACAATAAATGTCTTGTATGAAAACTTGTAATCCGTTCGATCAAACACAGTGATCCCTTTATAATGAAACTTTTTAGTAGCTAGTATCTGTTAAGTTTTAAAGCAAATGTTGATGCTAGTTGTGAGTGGCCGCTGTACATGGCATACCTGTGTTTTTACCTGTACTGTACATAACATTACCTGTATGTATCCTGCTTAAGGTATATATATTCCCATTGTAAATCCACAAGGCTTTCTCTAGCTCACCTGTTTTCACTATGTTTGTATTTACACCTAAGATTTCCCTACCTGTACAGGTGATCCACCCACCCACTCGACTTCAGCCAATCAGAACGACCTATGGTGGAAATCACAAATAATTGACATTCTGGCTGTTAACCGCGCAGGTAAATGTAGTTTTCATGTCGGTGTATTGTGACCTATTAGAAAGTGCTACTCATAACCGCATACATGTCCCCCGACTGTCTCAATATCTCTAATGATTTTGACACTGAAATGCTGCGTTATGTGAACTAAACCCGTTCCCTCTCAGTGTTATTAAAAGGCTTGAACACTTTTGCTTATCTGAGAGTACATGTGAATAACTCCCCAAAACTTTTCATGTTTTCTTAAAGTATTGCTCCACTCCTGAAAAAGGCCAACATATAGAACTACTTCAGTTTGAAAGGAATTTGTTGGATTACCAGCTAAAGCTTCAAATTAAATTTAATAGTCACATATGAGTGATCACGTATCAAAGATGTGTTTATAATGTATAAGAAAGATCTTATTTAAAGAACAAATATTTACTTTTTTTTTGAAAAGGACTGTGTTATCATTTGATCATAAATGAATTGTTGAAAATTGAAACTATTTTGAAAATGATGTTAATTAATCTTAACGAAGCTTACATTATTGTACTTGAAGTGTCCCTGTATTTCTTTACTTGTTAATTCATCCAACTGGCTTCACAATAGGCTAATAAGTTTTATGTCAATATAATTAAACACTGACGACAGAATTAAGACACAAACCTTTATAATATAGAAATCTACTCAAAAATTTTAATCCAACATACATGTATTCTAAATATAGAATAAATAGACAATAAGTGCAAGTGGAAAAAAAGAAGCTGATGTCTTAAAGTAAACAACTTGTATCATATACATTTATGAATAAATTCCTTTAGCTATGATAATAAAATGGACTTGAAGCAATTTATCAGAAGGTAAGATTTCTGATGTGTGAAAGTTAAATGTATAGGTCGAGTATATGATTTTTTTCAATTAATTTACATTTTGCTTTGTTTTCCTCGTAAATTTTCACACTAAGCTGACATTTGTAACCAGAAAAAAAAAATCTTTCCCACTTTTCAGACGTGTTGGTGCCATTGATACTATTTACATTTATATACAGTGTCCTGTACAACAGAACTCCTTTGACATATAGTTAGTAAGATATGTGTGTAGATAGTCGACTTTGTGTATTTGATAATATTGATCTTGTGTATATAATTTATAGGTAGTAACAGTAATTATTCTCCTCTTTGTTATGTTTCTCCTAATGACCTGCTGGTAAATTGTATTCACAGGCACATGAAACCATAGATCTTCATCACCATGTGATGTATATTGTAACAAAGTTGTACTGACTCATATAATCAGCCCAGTGTGTTTCCTTCATTGGTAACATGTGCTTCTGGCTGACAATTAATAATGTTGATAATTGACCCAACATTGACCATCTCCACTACAAACAGACTCAGACTGTTTGTAGCTGCACCTCAGCAGCATATCATTCATGCCTGATTTTGATCTCTGTCAGGCAAAATATTATGGAGCCTTTGATTTTGGTGTGAACCTCCATGTCGCACTACAGGCTCCAAAAGTGCTGCTGTAACATTATTTCAAAAGCCAGAAACATTTATATCAATATATCTCAAATTCTAGTGGGGCAGATGCTGTTACTGACTATTACAGGACAGTGACAGCAGACTCATATTTATTCTGAAACCTGGATAAATGTGGGTGGGCTTTGCCAAGCATGCAGACTTCTTGTTGAATATCTGCTATGCAAATTTGCTGACAAAATTTTGTAGTACAAAATCTTTGAAAAAAGGAAAAGTTTCATAATAAAGATAAAACTGTTCATGTGTTTTTATAGTAAGAAAGCAAATTTATATTTAATCATCAAAACTTTTACATAAAGTCACTTTGTCTTTTTTATTTCCTATTGATTGTCTTTTCATGTCCATTTCATGATATAAATATTTAGTTCTCAATTTAATATTAAATCAAATATAAATGTTATGTTATTATAAATGTGATAAAATTCAATAAAATTCCTGGTAAATTTTCATGAATGTTGAAATTCCTCAGATGTACAGATGAAAAAGGTATAAAACACAAGATATTAATACAGCAGCTGTATGATTGGTGCTGAAATAGTACTTTCAGTAGAGAAAAGGATATTAACTTTGATTTATTACAAAATTTTACATGCAAGAACACCATTTCCATCTTGCCAGTTGATATTTGAAGCTGAAAATTTCTTGAATTTTTTCAAAATAACTTAAACTTTGCAATCTTCTCATTTGATGTTTCTGAAAGACTTTTTTCTCATCTTAATGTCTAATGTTATCATGCTTCATTTCCAAATGTGAAATGTCACATTGTTTATATCATCTTCCACATCCCTCATTTCAAAGTAATTACGTTTATGCAGATTTCAACGAGGAATTCATACAGAAAAAAATGATTTAATCGAAGATAATTATACTAATCACAGAAATATAATTCCAATGAAGATCATTTGAATGTTTTTAAGAATTCAGAGAAAATGTTGGAAATTTTGCTAAGACAGAGAGTCAGTTTAGGCACAAAATGAAGAAGCCAAGTCAAAATATTATGGGTATGATGACTAGGTCAGTATTTTGTAAGGGTGTTTTCCAGCCATACTTCAACAAATTTGTTTAGTGTGTGTCTTCGCGTGCTTTTTACAAACCTGTTTTTAAGTCTCTCCATAAGCAATATTGTAATATTCCTTCTGAATTCAATATAACAGTAGAAATATTTCTGTCATGTAAATGTAAACCTGCGATTCTTTTATAGTATCCTCATCATCAGTTGGTTGATATTGCTAGTCAAGACTTACTGACCTCTAGTAGAAATATCTCACCTAACAACAAAGCACCAAACTTAAGTGTCAGTAAGGTCATAAAGTCACAACATACACCTTTTATCGAACTTAATTACAGAAGGTAAACACCTTTACCTGGATATAATTACAGGTAAAAATTGGTATTGGTTCAGCAGCTGCAACAGGTGGGATGACTATTTCATGGCTCCCTCCCACCATTATCCCCCCCTCCCCCTCCTACAACTCCATTAGGTACTGAATATTTCATAGCAAGTCATTAATGCTCAAGACATACCTGTACATGCTAAATAACAAAGGCTAACCTATACAGGTAACATGAACTCAGGTAAAACAGTTGTTTGGGCACATATTGAATGGTACCATAATTATCATTTAAGTGAACCCCGCAAATAATCCATCTTCTCCATAAACAAAACAAAAATATAAGATTAATTGCAAACATTATTTCTTATGCTAGCTGTTTACACACATATAAGGAAATTTAAAATTTCATTCTAAACATTGTGTCTTATCTACATATATAAAAATCAGATTTTGGATTATAAATGGTGGACAAATGAAAATTATCACATTTTGAGGGAAAATCTAGTTACATAAAAATGTATCTCCTAACTTTTAACAGCAATATAGTTTCACAGAAGCATGATTTTAATTTTTTTTGATCACATAATTCAAAAGTGTTATGTGATTGCAAAGACCAATACATAATTCATTAAAGGACATGGCATGATTATTTTTTCAGTCCTTGTTACAAGTGTTTTGACTCCATTTTGTTCTAGTACTGAGGATGGAGGGATACAATTGATTAAGGTAAGGTCCACAGGTTGACCAAAACATGTCCAGCATGTTAACTGCGGTCAAGGGTTCTCCTCAAGACTGACCATGTCCAGTGACCTGAGGTAAACTTCATACATTTTAAAAGTGATTAAACTAACCATGTTTAGTGGTCTTTCGTGTACTTATAAGTGGCCAAACTGACCATGACCAGTGCCCACACTGACCATGACCAGTGTCCTGTGTACTTTATCTGCAGGGATCCAACTGACCAGTGTTTGGTCAGTCAGACATGTCTAGTTTATAACAATGGCCCCCTGGGGAGCTGATAATGACATCATACATCATCAGTAAGCGTATATTAGCTAAACGGCCCCAGGCATCATGTTGTTAGGAAATGACATTATAAAATGTTAACATCTATCACACTGACTTTCAAACTGTGCAAACTAAAATCATGGATTCTAATGCAGTATATCTGTCATGAGAAATATCTGGCTTCTGAAAATCGTTTAAAAGTTAAATCAAATGCACAGTATAAACTGCATATAAAACTTTTCATTCATATTTTTTCTGTTTTCCCTCAGAAAAAAAATCGCGTTGTTACAATAACTCTTGACTGTGGACATTTTGGTGAGGTGAACAACCTTTTTTATGTATTTACATTTGTACATGAAGGAAACATTGCCAGCTTATGGGTCTTACTCCAACCGAGATTTACAACGCTAAGTTGAACTGATCGACACCAAAACATTTTAAAATTCACATTTACTATTTCCTTAGCTTGTATATACAAAAGTAAAAAAAATTATTATCAAATCTTAAATCATCAGACCTATTCCAAATCGGGTATTACACATTTCCTATCA